ATAAAATGTTGTTCTAATGGACCAGGACGAAAGCTGAAATCGAAATAAAACAAGCCTTGCATTCGATTGACTCTTAAAAAATCGGATACATCGATATAATTTGGTAAAGTAGCCGACAGGCCAACTATTCGAATCAAGGATTGTGATGATTCAACCTGTGATGGAGGAAAAAAGAAGATCAGTGGTGAAGAAGGGATGAGATGATCAAAGTTGGTAGTAGTAGAATCGGATCTTACTTGTCGTAGTGTCCGTGCAACGATAGTCTCGATCACTGCACCTCGATCTTCATGCAAGAGATGGACTTCATCAATGATCAATACCCTAACTTTCTGATAAATCGGTTTGGAAAAGAGATACAATGAGAATGATGAAAGAAGAAGTATTGATGGGTTTCGAGAGATATGAAAATACTAACAGACACAAGATCATCTTCGCCAGATGCTTTCCTCGTCACTACATCCCATTTCTCAGGTGTAGTTACAATTAAATGTGTAGCATTGATCTCAGCCTTGGTGAGTTGCATATCACCTTGATTTCAAAACCCGGCTTTGAGGTCAGTTAAAATCGCTATTATCAAGCACATCAAGTGGCAAGAACTTACCTGTCAACTCTTTGACTACCAAACCTAACCAACTTAGTCTTTTCCCCATCTTTCCCACAATTTCAGCTGCTAAGGCTTTCATAGGAGCGACGTAAATAATTTTGAAATCATTACGAATTTTACCTATGGGTTGAGTTGAATTATGCTTATTGGTAAAAGTAAGACCACTGTACTGAGAAATGGCTCTGAGGATCGTCAACATTGCAACGTCAGTTTTACCCTGTAAATATGTCAAGTTGATCAAGGGTCAGACATACGTAAAGTCGTGGAGGGCAAGGAAAAGGATCATTGAAGGAGAACGACTGAACTGCACCCGTCGGAGCACAAACCAACATATTCTCATTTGTTTTATATGCAATTGGGAATACAGCACTCTGTAATCTATTCAAAGATTTATAGCCCTGTTTCGATTCAAATTTGTGTACGTGAGAAAAAGGCAAGTGGATTAATCAATAAGAATCCTCAACAACACTTCTTGAAATGAGAGTTGAATTAAAAGTCGGCTTACAGGAAAAGAAGCTCGAGCAATCGGATCTAATTCGGAAATATCAATGAATTGCTCATCTGATCTCATTGGAACTTTTTGAGCCGGTGGAATTGAGATTTCCTCGTAAAGCTACAAACAAACATAAAAGAACTTGATTAAAGATCAAATCATGTTGAAGAAGCTTAGTTTGAGAGCCAAAAGTTGTAAATTCACCTTCTCTGAAATACGAGTCGTACCAAGTGGTAAAGCATATTTGTGCGTCGTTGGATTGAGATTTGTTGAAACTGATGAAGAGAAGATATGCGGATTGAATTCCGCTTCTTGTACAAACTAAAAGGGTTACATTTTTTCAAAAAAGACGCGTTCAGTATGTTGTGAGGTCAATTCGCGTGTAAAACTTCAAGAAAGCTTACCCCTTCATGAGTGAAAAGTGGACGATTAGAAGCTTCAAGGAGTGCTCTTGCTTTGAGTCGATTCAATTGACGTAAATCAAAGGTATCTTCTGTTCCAGCTCGTTTTGATTCTAGTTTGATGAGATCTTGGTGGTTGTGATTGTGATATTGGTTGTTTTGATGATGATTGATTCGATGAGATGATGAATCCTGTTCTTTAATTAATGATTGATTCGAGATGACAGGTTCGATGAGAGATAAATAATGAAATCCTAATAAATCTAATAATTGATTTGATTTCAAATCTTGAGATTGATCTGATTGAATGATCTTTATGATTTCATTGAGATTTAAAGGTTCTTGTTGTTGAGATTGATATGGTGAGATGGTGATTTTTAACCAATTCATAAACTCATTGGGTGATATCAAATCAGAATCGAATGTTTGATGTTTCAGTTGAGATAACAAGTGCTGATTGGATTGGATCAGGTTGATTTGATAGTCTTCATCGATTGATTGATTTGATGAAAGTTCTTGATCGAGTTCGAATTGAAGTTCAACTTGTGAGTCTTCTTGGTGATGATGATGATCAGCTTGAATGTAATCCTGAATGGCAGTATCGAATAGCTTCTTTGAATTCTTGTTGAACTCATTCATCATGCTTGGTTTCTTTCTTTCTTTCTTCCTTTCTTTGAGCTTTGACTTTGAATACCTTCACTTTGGCAATCTAAATTTCGATCATCAACTTGAAATGGAATTACTCGTCGATCATCGGTCTTGGTGATCTGATCCGGCCCTGACCCCATCTGATGGGTTTGCCCGATACTTCATATTCTCTCATTGAAAGCTGTGATTCTTGACACTCTGGCCAAACTGCTTGAATTCACCATCACTGGATCAAAATATCACTGTGAATATGGGTGACTGGGAACCACAAATCGAACAGGCCGACAGGATTAAAAGGCGCACAAAAAGGGTGAATCAAATTCAGCAGAGATCCTGAAAGACGGATTGGTGAAAATTAAAAAAGTAGCAGTATTTTTTGTGGTTGGTAACTTGTTATTAACAAAAGGGAACGTCGGGTAATTCGGACTTTGATTGTATCGGTACTGATTTTCGGTTCCTTTACAGTTTATTTGTGGTCAACAGGGATGATGTCATTCCTTCTTTAGCTGTTTACCACGTTTTCCGAATTTCCTTTCATAGTTCCGTTTTTTAGAAATAAGAACTATTTCTTTAATCATTACTAGTATTAGTTATTTAAATTATTATTAGTTTTATTCTTTCTTTATTTCTCTTTATGTGTTATGCGCAGGCTTTGTTGTTAGAAAGTTATGTTGTTGGTTATATCTTATTTTCCGCTGCCGCCCCGTAGGGTGTTGTTAGTTATATGGAGTAATTATTTACCCTAGGCATATTATGCCTTGGGGTTTTTCGCCCAAACACGTTGCTTTTTATTTAAAAGCATTTTTCTATTCGAGCATTTGTGAGTTTACTTACCAACGTTTCTCCTTCTTTCTAATTACATCAAGCTTTGGTGAAGAAATATGATGGAAGGCAAGTTGTGTCTTATCATGTTTGATTTACTCGAGGCATGTCCTCAACTAGTCCTCAGCAATGGCTCGCACGATAAGATGCCTGTCTTTCCTGATGGATGTTTTCTTTTGAGCTGGATGAATCCAGTATGATCAACTCTGACAAACTTTGTCCGATATAGTCGAAGTCAACATGGCTCGCTGAAAAGCAGTCACTACTTCAGCTCAACTTTGGAGCGGTCGAGGTCCAGCCGCTTCGTAATCCAACAAGGTCATGATGGTACATGCCGCGAAGGATTTCGAAGCCAGTTTTCATTTTCGCTGTCCTCTCACACGTTAGATCAGATGATCGAATTTTCGCTGAGGGTGTCAAGTTTTGTTAAAGTTAAGTATCGTCGTCTGCGGTACATGTCTTCTTCGTGATCGTCTACGCGTCCAGTAATCCAGCGTGCACACACATGATGTGAGAGCTTTTGGTATAGCGGCGCAGCTGAAATCTCTTGTCCTCAAGCAAGCCACGAGGTTCTGTAAGACTTTATCTTCTTCTCAAACCGATCATATCCGTGACGCAGGCTTGGTCTAAATCCCAGCAGCGCCCGAGCATCGATTTGACAATGACTACTCATCTTTCTCCGACGTTTACGACGAACTTTCTAAAAATCCTCTACATTCATCATTCAAGTAACTTTGCAAGAGAGACTTCCGTTCTCTGCTGCTTCGAATTGTCTTCCTGTACAGTTATACAATCCGCAAATCACCCAGACTCAGTGCTCCCCAAATTTCAAGGCCTGACGTTCTTTCCATCGGTGTTCTTTCTGAAACGACCAATAGATGCACGAGCGGTACTGAGGATTACTAGCTTTTAGCTTGAAAATGAAATCCCTCCGCATTTTGGCCCCTTACGCGCTTCTAATCCTGTGTGGATTGGTTAACTGGAGCCATTCCCATCCTACACCTGGCATCTCCGACCTCGAAGAAGATGTGGCCAATTCCTTGGGTGGAAACATGCGCAGTGACAAAAATCTTAGTGGCGTAGCAAAAGCTGCCCTTGCTGACGATAAACCTACCCTGAGTCATACGCCGGATCCTTCATCAAAAATGCTACAAGGTGTCACGCTTGATACAGAAAAAAACAAACCAAGCGCAAAACCTAGCAAAGATTCCAAATCATTTTCCGGTTCTGATGCCGAAGCTAATCAAACCAACAAAGCCACCCAACCAAAAAAACTGACTCAAGAAGAGAAGAAAAAATTAATTCTTGAAAAGCTCCGCATGATCTTCTTGACTTGGCCAGCCAAAGTTTGGAAATATATCAAACAATGGATTGCAAAGACAAACTTCTTTAAACCCAAGGCGAAAAAACCTATCATTTCTCTAAAAGATAAGTTCAAGATTCCGTGGCCCAAACCCAAGACATCATCAGGGCCAAATCTGAGCCCGGCAGAAGAAACACCAGACAAGTTATCAGTCCGAGCATCTCAAGACAAGCCCACACATTCAAAAGATGAAGAATTTCAAGAGGATACTCGTGGAGACCAGTCTTTTTCGCATTCTAGCCAATTAAACAATATCAGATATACTCCGGATGGAATACCTTACCTGTGTACTAGTACAGATCCTAAGGTGTGTGACCGACCATACAAATTAATCATATGGTCGGCTAGGTACCCAAATGGATCATACAAAGGTCTGCAGACGCAGAAGATTGACTGTGTTCACAAAGCCTGCGACGGTACACACCAGATTCCCGCAAAAGGTTATTTGAAGGATCCCAAACCCAAGACATCATCAAGGCCAAATCTGAGCCCGGACGAAGAAGCACTGATCAAGTCGTCAATCCAAACACCCGAAAGGAAGCCCACACATTCAATGGATGAAGACGTCCAACAGGATATTCCAGGAGCCCAGTCTGTCCCACATTCTAGCCAATTAAATAACCACAGAAATACTCCTGATGGAACTCCTGATAACACACCTGTTGGGTCACCCAGGCATTAATACTCAAAAGACATTCCTCTGAATGGCCCAGTGGGTATCCACAATATGCAAGAAAAAAATCCACAGTAAGAAATGAGAAACACAATCCCTTCAAACCACAAAGAAGGAAGAAAAGACACTCCAAATGCTGATCCTTTGAACTCTTCCCTCAAAGAAGAGTCAGATACATCACAGAATACAAACCAATTTTAACAGATAAGGAGTCTGAGTACCTGGAAGCTCTCAAAATTGACCTTTCTTGAGATGAGATAGATAAAAAATATTGAGAAGTAACAAGAAACATTTAGGAAGCATATTTTTTTGGAATCAGATCATTAGCCAAATGTTTTCAAATTCTTTTGATTATTTTTGTTCCTTTTTGTGCATTGCTCACCACACTTACATGTCGTGATGTGAAACCACATGTCCCAACCATTCAATATGTTTGCAGGGCATCATCAAAATAAGGATTTAACTATTTGGCAACCGCTTTCGAAAAACCCGATGCCCGCATTTTACGGTACTATACCCGCGGGTTTTCTGTGAGCCTCCGCCAAATTTGGCCGCAGCCGCAGCAAACCCGGGCGCTGACTAATCAAAGTGCCCTCTTTCCTTCAGAAACTAACTTAACTAAGTCCCTCTCGGACGAACGAGTAGTCGAGAGAGGGACTTATACCTTATACCACATCTTTGGCGGATGAGCCGGAAACATTTGGCTGGGGACTTTGTCAACGTGCCATATCTGTGGATCCTGCAAACAAATGTCCTTGGGACCAAAGAAAAGAGCTATGCGCCTGCTTAATCTACACACATGTGTGTAGCCTACATCTAATTTGATTGAGAACTCACAGAGCAATGCAATTGTGAAGTTTGCAAAAATCACCAAAATCGGACAGAAAGCTGTCCAGCCTGTCAAAAGCTCACACCAAACGCGCTGAAATGTTACACAAAAACAATTTTTCAAGTCGGTTTTTAAGGGCTTCCCTGGCGGCAAAGAAGGGATTTGAAAAGATGTGCGTGTGTAGGATGATCAGGCGCAGAGGACTTTTCTTTGGTACAGAGGATATTTGTTTGTAGGCTATAGAGATATAGAAGATTGAAAAGGTGCCCAGCCAAACTTCTCCGGCTCATACGCCAAAGTTGTGGTATAAGGTATAAGTCCCTCTCTCGACTACTCGTTCGTCCGAGAGGGACTTAGTTAAGTTAGCTTAGCTTCAGAAAGGGCTTCAGCCTATCACATAGGGCTGCTGGAGTTCACAAACCGGTCACCAACCGGGCATTGCTCACTCAGATCACATCCCAGCAATCTCAAACCGGGCTATCCATACTTCCAACACGTCTCTCCCTCCCTTTGTTTCGATACTTCCGCTTTTGGCTATGGCTCTGTCCCACAGGTTCAACATACCATACCATCGGACGAGGCTCAAGATGGTAAGTGGCTGATTTTTTCACCCTTCTCAGTTCCTTCCCCTCACATCAAAGGAAGCATCACTGACTGAAGCTCTTCGACAGCCGTCCTACGTAGTTTTTGATACATCCAATCAACTCATCACAATTTACATTCTTTTCGACGATCATATCTCCTCCTTATCGCACGTATTCGACACGGACACCCTACCCATGTTTACTTCGCATTCGAAAAACTCTAGTCCGAGTTCCACCGGTGTTAACCTCCAAGCGAAACCTCTTCAAGCTTCACCACCACATGCTTATATGTACTACCCCCAACCCTACTCCTTTCCCCCGTACTTCAACCCTGGAAACACCGTGAACACCCATTTTTCAACCGAAGTGCCTGCTTCAGGATACTGGCCACATCCTTCACATCCTTACATGACTCAGCCACCTTTTCCTGCTCCTGCTCCGTACCCATTGTACCCACCATACCAATATCGACCGGCTCCCTCTGGATATCCCTTGCCACCGAAAATCCCACCACAACCTGATTTAACTCAGCCAGAGTATCCTCCCACTTCGACTCAGTCTCAAAAAACAGACGGAAATACGAACATCGCTCCTTTGGTCGCACCATCTGTCACCTTTACAGTCTCACCCGATAAGCCTGGGGTATCTGTGGTCAAAGTCAAAGATCCAAATACAGTCATTTAAGATGAATCTGATGATGACGACGATAAGCTACTGGCCGATCTTCAAGCCGAACGTGACGACGACTGGCCAGCTATTGGTAAATGTAGTTTTTACTCTTACTTTCGAAAGTTTCTTTCAATCAATCATCGACTGATAGTTTTACCTTGGTTTACATATTATAGGTGCCACACCAGTCAGACTAATGCAAACTCCAATTTTTGGAAAGCATTTTGTTTCGAGGGCGTGTGGCATTATGTACCTGAACGCGGTATCACGACATCAAGGTTATGGAATCTTGATTAAAAGTCATAAAACAGAAAATCATCAAAAAGTCAGGATCTACTTTAGATGCGCCCTTGGCCGGCCGGTGAATTCAGTAGCTAAGGTTCGCGCTAGTTCTACGAAGATGACGGGCTGTCCCTTCGAAGTCTCACTCAACTACCACTCACGTCAAGACAGATGGATTGTACAGCGAGACGAAAAGACTCCAGCAAAACATTTACATAACCACCCTCCGTTTAATCAACCCAACCACTTCTCTAAAAACCAACAATTCACACCTGAGATGTTAGGTCAAATCGAGCTATTATCATCTGCAGGATTGCGCGCCGGGCAGATCCGAGGACTTCTCAATTTTGAACCCGGCTCCGAACCCTTGGTCCGAGACATCCAGAACGCGATCTATCGACAGAGAGACGCGTGGCTAAACGGTCGCACTCCCATTCAAGGCCTTTTCGATCTGATCACAGAACAGAAGTGGGCGTTTCGGACGATGACCTCTAGCACCGGCACCTTACAATCCCTCTTCCTGGCCAGTCCTCAAGCTATCGACATGGCTCGTCGATTTCCAACGGTTATTGGCCTCAACTGCACGTATAAGACAAACAGATTTAATCTTCCGCTGTTACACATCGTCGGTACCACCAACACTCACAAGACCTTCACAGTTGCCTTATGTTTCATGCACAGTGAGGTCGAGGATCAATACATATGGGCTCTCGAACAATTAAAATCAGTAGTATTCGATGGAGTTCCTGAAAATAATACGACACAAGTTCCTCAGACCTTCTGCACGGATGCCGAACCTGCCCTTTACAATGCAATCGAAAGAGTTTTTCCTAGTTCATCTCATATATTGTGCATATGGCACATCAATCAGAACATTGCCAAGAATTGCAAGAAAAAGTTGGGATCCAACTGGGACGAGTTTATCAAATCATGGAATCGATTTATTCAAAGCACCACGACTTCTGAATATGAAGAAAACTTGGAGGTTGTCAAGTCTATGGCTTGCAAGCACCAGATATGGGACTACCTGGAGAAAACGTGGATCCAACGAGCAAAGAAATTCGTGGCACTCTTCACATCTCAAACGCCACACTTTGGAAATTCATCAACCTCCCGACTTGAAGGTGGCCACTATCGCCTGAAGAAGTTCTTAGATGGAAATAATAACGACTTCCTTTCATGTTTCAAGGCTTTTAAGCGCGCGGGGGAATCACAATATAACGAACTCACAACTTTGACCGGGGTCGAGAGCCAGAAGACTCTGCTTGGTATGCCGGATAGCTTTCAGGACCTGAATCGAGTCATCTCACATTTTGCTCTTACCAAAATGAAGGAACAATACGATCACATACCGGACTCTTTCGAAAAGGAATGTACTCAGACATTCCGTGGAGTTTGGGGTTTACCTTGTTTGCATGATCTTGCTCGCGCTTTGGTGGAATCCAACTCCATCCCTTCGACCCTTGTCCACCGTCAATGGCATATGAGCCTGGTAGCTCCTCCCGGAAGTCACGAGGAGCTCAAGACTGCAGTTCAATCTAGATTCGAGAGACTCCTCGAATCCGACGAACACTCTCTTCGCAAGATTTATGAAGAACTAGCGAAGATTGAAACTGGACGCTATTCACTTGTACCAATTACTAATGCTGTTGTCAAATCCCATAATCGAGGCAGGCCTCGTAATAACCAGGCCAAAAGAGGAAAGGTTTCCAAACAAAAAGAAGGCCAATGGAAATCGAACCATGAGTTGGAGGAAGAAGAAGAGGCCAGAGCTGCAAAAAAAGCTCGTGGGCCCAATTGTGGTTACTGTTTGCAGAACGGCCACAACCGAACAACATGCACAAAGAGACTCGCCGAAGAATCAATCATCGCTGATGAAACAAATGAATCATCCGCCCCGGATCATGTGTCTGACTCGGAACCAGATGAAGAACCACTATCTCAGTTATCAATTTCCCCAAAACTTGGTCAACCTTCCTTGTCCCGTCAGAAGATTGGGGGTACAGTTTCTAAGTGGCGAGAATCTCCAACTGCTACGTGCTCCGAGGTAAGTGCCACTAACCGTTCATTTCCTGAGAATCACAAGATTGATTGTCAGGAATATTTCTTTTTGCTTTTACAGATCTCACACAAGCCTATACCTGCATTACCTAGTCTAGATCCTCAACCAGCCAGATCTTTGGGTACAAGTTGCGTTTCATTTAGCTTGCCAGGTTGCGCAAATACAACTCTTCCAACCCCGACTTCTTCCGCTTCAACTCAAGTATCCATGCGTCTGCCACTGGCTAAAACACCAAGCAGGCCGGCACAACCAGTAGTATCTCACATTCGAAAACCTCCAGCGTCTCAGCCTGCAAGTACTCAAAAGCCTGAAATTTTCAAAGTGCCTGGATGTCCTGCTCCACCAAATTCTCAACTTGTGAAGGCTAAACGGATATATAAGTGTAGTATTTGCAAGCAGCCAAACTGCCGCGCTAACCGATGTCCTAGGAAAGCTTCTTTCCTGAGCCCCGCTCAGCCGCAATCTATTGCCTCAGTCACTGCTCAATCACTATCTCCAGACCATGGACCAAAGCAAGACAATAACCAATTGGAACTGGAGACTGATGAATCAGACTCCAGTAGCATTGTGCGACTGGGGTCTGATGCTGGTGATGATAACCTTTGTCCGTGGTGCGATGAACCACTTCCTTCGGCACCTTCAGAGAAGCTTGAGCGGTTGAAAACCACTCTACTCGCTTTTCCCAATGCTATGTCTTTACCGGTGTGTTTTCTATCTCCTTTGTCTCAATCTTTTACATCTTGGCTTACATATACATTATGCATATTGTAGTTCCCACAAACTGCAAGTTTCTGTGATCTCCATGTGGCAGAGCGAGATGTGATCCCCTTTGGAAAAAAACAGGGATGGCCAATGTGTATCGACTTTGACCTGTTACCACAGTAAGCAGACTATCTCCATATATTGTGGTCATTTGACTTACAACAAATCACCACAGGCGCATCCAAAAGCATTCCGATCATCTTTACCGGATTATTCAGCGACAAATACCCTCCATTTTCCTCGAGGAGTCCGAAAGCAAATTGAAAAAACAAGGACGGTATATGTTTACTATGAGTGGCGAATTTGAGGGGTTTGAGGTCGAACAGCCTGGGTAGTGAGTGTACAATGTTTTACATGTCCTAGAGGTCGAAATCGGGTATTTAATGTTATACGTTTTAATCCAGCTATGGTCCGACAGGTTTTGAGGTCATGATCAATACCTTGACAGACATTTTCTTGTCTGCGGAGTCCAAAAAATCGCTAGATGTCAATAATGCAGCCCCTTTTCCGACGGATTACTTTGTGCGGCGTATACTGGTACCAGAAGTCACCTTACTGCTCATTGCTGAAGATTTGGAACTCCCCTTGAATGATGCAAAAGTCAAGGAGACCCTACAGGCCAGTCGATCCTTTGGACGCGCGGTATTCTCCAATGAAGAAGACAGTTTCTTACAGGACACCACCGAGGCTTCTTCAAGAGAGCAAGATATTCTGAAGCAAATTCCCAAATTCATGGTGCCTTATGTCAAGTCTACATATGATCCGCCTCCTTTTGGGAATTGTGGGTACTTTGCCATAGCGGAATCAGTTGGAGATCAGTCTGAAGACTCGTATGTGGATGTCAGAAGGAAATTGCTTGCTGAGCTTTCTGCGCATTCTCAGGATCATGAGCGGTTGATTTCTCCTGTTTCGACCCGAACCATGAAGACTCGAAGACATCAATCTTTTGGCGCTGAGGTGGTTCAAGATTTGCTGTTTCGGCTGGATCATTATGAAGCCAAATGCTCGGCAAAATACTGGCTACGCATGCCCTTCATTGGCTATGTCATAGCCAGTGCTTACAATTGGCCTGCAATTCTATTGGATCCACGGAAGGCTTACTGCAGCTCCTTCTTCCCTTATCGGACCTTACCACCTGCGGTCAAGCAAGAGCCCATTGTGCTTGGGTTTGTGGATCAGCAACACTTTGTAAGCTTCAGATGTAGAGAATATCAGTCTCTGCCGTTTCCGGAATTGTATGGCAAGTACCGCAACGCAGCTCATCTTGAAACGACCAACATACCTACTTGGATTAAACATTATCAACAAGAGTTAGATAGGTGGAATGATGATGACTTGGCGTAGTAGTTAGTGATGTTTTCTCTGAGCCTGAGCTTCACTGAGGTTACACATGATTTCTCATCATGCCTTACACACGCTTGTAACTCTACTTGCTCCTTTTTTCTTGTTCTCGTTCTCACTTGTTTGTCTCTCTCTCTTTGGTTTCTATTGGTTTTGAATGAAAAGTTCTTGAACATATGGGTTACACACGATTTCTCAATGCCTTTCACACACGCTTGTGACTCTACTTGCTCCTTTTTTCTTGTTCTCGTTCTCACTTGTTCTATTTGTTTTGAACGAACAAAAAGTTCTTGAACATATGACTAAGTAGACTAAGTACTAAGTAACAACCAACTTGTTATAACTCCAATTCATTACATTTGTCTCTCGGTTTCTGGTGTTTTGAAATCAAAGATATGGTTCTTTCACCACACACACACATCTTTCACACTGGGGTGAGGGTGAGGCGACGACTGGACTGGGTGTCTGACGAGGGAAAAGGAGAAAAAATCAAATTGAGTTGTCGCCCGGTTTCAACTTTCAAACCGGGCGATTTGTATGTTTTCGGGCTACAAAGATTCAGCGAACCCGAAATCCGGGCGTCGGGTTTTTGAAAGCGGTCGCCAAATAGTGAGATCCCAAAATAATGACTCTGTTTGTGGTATATTTCATTTCTATTGATTTTACACTTGGTATTCTTTTGTTTATTAAGTTGAGTGATGTTGTGTTCTTGGTGTTATTCCTCATTCTAAAAAAAAATGCTGTATCCCTCTTACTATCCATCTTATTCATCTAAGTCTTTTCAATTATATAAATATTTTACTTGTAACACTCTAAAAGAGATAACAACTAAATAGATCAACACAACACCTGTCTATCTCCACTCTCATTAACAACACTTTATGAAGATGAATTATAGTCAATATACTATGGTGTGGAAAATACTGCAATGAATAAAACAAGCACCCAGAGAAACCCTACAGACTGATCAACAAAGTTGGTGGGGTTTTGGACCCAAATTCTGTCAATGTATGTGACAAGGACAGAGCCAAAAGCATGAAAAAATGGTCCTTGATCACTCAGGTTCATATAGGATTTCCAAGGTCCTCATGGTACTGTAATCTCCATCACTATATTTACCTTGTGGTGCCATTCTTTCTTTACATAATAAATATCCAGTGTTTTGTATAACTTGTATGTAATGTTGCATTGTAAGGGATCATTTCAGACCAACCACATCCTCAGCCCTACCTATTATTGTCACTTCTTATCAATATAAAATCATATTTGACCCAAGAAATGAAATTTCTTGATCCTCTGCATCAATACAGAGTCAAAAGAGATATCAAAGCATCTCATTAAAAAAATTTATGAGATGAATCTTTCATGCTAATGCAAATTATGAAAAACAAAAAACCGGAAAAAAAGAAAGAGAAATCGATAATTCAAGTGTTTTAACTATAATGAAAAAGTACATTGGCTATGAACTAGATGGATAATGTTTCATGGATACATTCGAATAAGTAGGAAAAGATTCAGGATAGAGTGAATGAAAATTATTACAAGTACCATAAGCAAACGATTCACGAGGATGATACAATTGACTAGGAACCCTAGGAATTGTACGGTACGTTAAAGAAGTTACACCCGAGCTAGCATGTGTGATCATAGGTGGATGATTTGTGAATGCCTGAAGCGTAGGTTGAAAAGACGTGTGAGATAATGGGTCGGGATAGGAATAGGTGGGAAAAGGGTTGAAGAGTGAAGATGTGTATATGTCTGGATAAGGAGCGTGAGTGAAAGTTGAGTGATTCATGCTTGGGAAAGGGATAACCCGACTGATGTTCAGAGGCATTGGGAGTGGACTTCTAGAAAAGTCGCTGAGGTCGGGCGAGATGTCGTGAGGTATGAAGTCACAGTGTCTAGAAGGTGTATCGGTCGAATACAACGCGGAATCCGTCAAGGTGTTCGAGAAATCTTGAGTCCTAGATGTCTGCGGAGCTGATTCTACAGAGCCAACCAAACTCAGATTGTAAGGAGTTGACTGTTCCGGGCTCAATTCAATCTGAAATGAATCCATCGAAGGACCGCTGATTGTGAAATGTGGCGATGAAGCCTGCTTGGATTCAGGCTGGCGGTTGTGTTCGTTCGTTGCCGTGGCCTTGACTTTCTTCCCTTTAGGCTCCTTGACTTGACTTGTGGCAGCCACAATCGTTGCTTGTCGAAGTTTGTTCGACTTTTGAAGCCCCTTCTGAACTTCAACCAAGTGCTTTTCTGTCTGAGCATTTTCGACATGAAGATGCTTGTGAACCGCCGCTTTGTGCTGTCTAGAAAATGGAATCAAACTGAGTAAAGCTCTTCATCTATCCGATAGTTGAAAATCATTCTCACCGCCAGTTATCCAAACGGCTAAACAATTTTTGACAGTGACATCGAAAAGGCTTTTCCTTGGTGTGCTTCCTGAAAAGACATAAATCATGTTCGTTAAGCTCATTGCAAAAGAAACATGGGATATGGGGACAGGAATGGCAAACACACCTCTCGTGTCTGGCAAGATGTTCGACACGGCTAAACGTCTCAAAGCAGCCCGGATCCAGTCTGCACTCAAACACCTTGAGGGTAGCACCATTTGAAGAGCCTTCGGAGATTTCAACCCCTTCGCAGCTGTAGACCTCTTTCGCTTCCCGATCAAAGGACTGACTTCTGGGGTGTTTAATCGAGAAAGATGATGTTCGGGGGAAGCTTGTAATACTAGCGTGCACTGCCGTCTCGTTCGCTTCTTTGGTTTTT